TCGAGGTCTATTCCTTTATTCTATTTGCTTCCATTCATATCAAATGGTAGTCAAGTACACACCTTCAAGAAGGTAAACTAATTTGACTGTTTAGGTTTCAGTCAGCAAGATAAAGCTATTAAAAAATGAGGTAATAAGTGAACCTAAGATACTGGAATACTCTCACGTTTTCAAGGCTACAAGTGACATTTGCAGGCAGCTTTCATCTCTGTTTCAGTTTGTTGGGGGAAAACACCCATTTCTCTCACTGCAGGTGTTAAGAATTTCAACTATTATTATAAAGTTATTATTTTAGTATCTACTTTTGAGTCCAGTCATGCCAAGTGGTACTTATCTTTTGTAATGCAAGTGAGCTGATTGAAGAAACTGAAAACAGATTCCCTTTTAAATTCCATGAAATAAGTGGAAACAGGACTATAACTATCTCAGGTTATCATATTAACATTTCATTTATTGAATCAAAATCTTGCAGGATGCATTCAAAATCCACATGATGTCTTGAGTGCTAAAGTTTTCAAGACGATCTGTACATTAGCAAATAAATAGGCAATGTAAGAATACAAGTTTGGCCACAGATGTAGCAGCTAGTAACACAAAGACTGAGGCTATTTCACCTAATAGTAAGAAGAGAAACTGGTTTGGCTTTAAAAGACTTTCAGACAACAGTAGTTTGTTCATCACTGTACCAAAAGAAGAAAAAAACAAAGAGGTGGGGGTAGTTCTCCGATGTAACTGCAACCCTCTAAAGCATACAAAATTAAGCTGAGAGGTATGAAGGACCAGATGGCAATTTTCTAAAGTAACTGGAGCCTAGCAGAATTCAAGTTACATATTATCTGCTGCAAATAAATATTACTGTCTTAAATACTTGCACTACAGTAACTACCGTACACTTCTCCATACCAAAGTAAACAGCATCAACCTCACAATAATCACCCCAAACATTCTCACCAGCCTTTCTCATAAAAAAGCTTGACTTGCTGTCACTATCACAGCACTGAGTGTCCAAACCCCAGCTGTTGGAAGTAGGTATAACTGATATAACAGACAAGTTCTGGTATAAGAGACAACTCAAAAATTTGTAAAAGATGCAGTGAGCTGAGCAGAGGAAGCATACCCTCCCTACCCACCACAAAGTATATACTTCACATATCCCTGGGGCCAGAGGAAAAATGCCAGGGCTTACCCGTACAACAATCTAAAGCATTTCCAAACGAAAAAAGATAAGTGTGGGCATCTGCTGTTGTCAGAAGTACAGTCAGAAGTAGGTCAGAGGTATTGCTGAAGGAGGCTAAGTGGCAGCAACAAGCACTATGCACAGATCAATGGGCTTACACAAAAACCGTGCTAAAATCAGACTGTGTTGAGAAGTACATGAGGTCTTCCATTCTTTTACTGGAATTTCTCTCAGTACCAATTTGGTTTGTTCTCCACCACTTTCATTTCACTGAGAAGGTATTGGTTGATTACCAATAAATGATAGTCAAAACATAAAGGAAGTTTTCTTTCCTGTTTCTGTTACCCCCTCCCTCCTCCCAAAGAGGTTAACCATATGGCAGCATAAAAGCATTAAATACCGGTTTTTTTTTTTACTTTCTTTGGGATTTATCACGAGTGTTCAGTGGTACAGAAGGCAGTTTTAGCCAATCTGTTCTTTCTGCAATTTACATTGCTATATGGAGAAATCTTTAAGGAAATTTAAAGCTAATGTGCCTTCCATTTTCCTCTTCCTGAAACGCATCAGTGTATCCATTTTCCTTCTGTTTTTCACTGTGCCATTTTCCCCTCTATTGTATGTTATCTTCATCACATTCACCCATATTCTTTCCAAACTCCTATTGATTTGTCTTCATTGCTTCTCACCCACAAGCTTTCTTTTTGTTCAATCCCCACACTCCACTTCTCACATTCTTCCTTCCATGTAAACATTTTTCTAAAAATCAGACTTAAAATCCACAGTCTCAGCTGGGTCCACGATATTATGCAGTCCTTCCAAGATCAAACAAATCAAATGCTCTACGAGCTGCATTTTCTCACTTTAACAGAGGTATTCCTTGTTAGACTAGATTCATTTCCACACATTACATTTTGTCCAGCACTGTGCTCTTCAAATGTAACTAAAACATCTTCAGGTTGATGACTAGCCTCAGACTTGCTAGCAGGTATTTGACATCGATGTTCATTAAAAGTTTTGAACCACAAAATTTGCCAGACTGCATTGGCTTGAGCAGCTCACGGTCTTCTGTGGTGATTAGCAAAGCTTTCTCCTACAAAAAGTTTCACTGTATTCATACAAAGCCACAGAGCATCTTCCATCTGTGTTTTAGTTTGCAACTGTCCCAATGTCTGGCGGTTCTGGCAAACACATACATATGTCCTTAAACTTCCTGAGATTGCACTGTTTTGGTGGTTTCTTGTTCTTCCAATCTCTCACCGTAACTTTTCTCCTCTACCGCTACCAAACTGCAGGCACTTGTTCATCGCACTCCTTCCGACCGTACAAGCTTGCTGTGGCCCCAATCCTCTTCTCATTTCACATGCATGCTAGGAATAACAAGAGGCTGCTAAAAGAACTGCCAATCTTTCTGCCCTCCCAGTAAGCAGCCTAGCACTGGTGAGGTTGCTTCAAAGACTGCCCCTACCTCGACTGTGAGCCAGAATTTAGCTGAGACACCTAAATTTTTCCCAGTTCTGCCAACCAGGTAGAAAACAACCACTGAATTAAATTTTCAAACATTCAGTAAGAATTCCAATTGGGATCAGCAGCAAGATCCATGTGCCTTAAATCTTAGTCACCTATTCAATGCTAATACTCTTCAAAAAGCAGCTGTTGTATACATGTTTAAGTAATGCCAACAACATAGATGAGGCAGGTAACAGGTAAGCATGAGCTACTCAAGAATAACATCTCATCTCTTTTCTGATTTCCCATCTGCCATAAAGCTGCACTTTGAAATCTCAGAAGCAAGCGATGATGCAGTTGGGAGGAGGTGAACAGTGCCACACGCCACAGAAACAGTGACGTGTAACATTTTACAGTATCTAGTAGCACAAGATGAAATAGCTGTTAAGTAACAGGCAGTCTCTGCCAATAAGAAAGCCACAGAATGTCTCCTGCACGTAAAATTGAAAGAGATGGTCTGAAAGCATACTTGAAACACAGACGAATCACAGCATTGAAAGCTAGTCCTGCACTTAGATTGACCAAGGAATTTTAGTAAAATCCCAACTTTTTCCTCTCATTGAGAGAGATCTCAGCAGACATCCACAAACTCGGAATCACCCATGAAGACTTATGTGACTATGTTGAACAAGATCCCTGGAAAATTTTTCCACTGTAAAACCCTGGAGTCACTTCTCGCACATCATGTATCAAAACGCTCCCCTAAGCTTTCTAATACAGCCTGCCATTTTATGTATCTCAAGTGAGATCAGAACAGTTTCTCAAAACGTGCAGCCTGACCAGCCTTGCAGCTGACAAGATTGCAGAGCCACAACGGAAAGGAACTAATTTTTCTCCATCAGTGAATATCCTCAGCCACAGGGTAGATTACAAAGTGTTAAACATAATATCAGATCTAACCAGAGAGCAAGTAGATTGGAAAGAAAGTAAAACGTATCCAAAACCGCTGTATCAAAACCACTGTCCAACCATTTCATCCATCAAATAACTACCTTATAAATATATCCATCTGTTTCAAAACCAAAGTAAACACATTTAAATAAATTTTGAAGTGTAAGAAGAGGAGGTTTATTTACCCACTTCCCCTGAGAAGAAGTGACCCCTTCACCAGAAATAGAACTAAAATTGTTATTGTAATCTATCAAGCATTCCTTGTTCTTCCAAAACAAAGCTGCTGTACATAAACGACATGGCTAGTCAACTACGTAGCAGCACAATATATTTTAGTAGCTTGCAGGTTTTCTTATACGCTTAGATTTTCCACCTCACAGCATTAAATTTAATTACATAACAATGAACTTCTACCCTTATGTAACTCGTTGGCCTGAAGTTGCTGCAGTTATCTGCTGGGTATAAGGAAATTTTACAAATAGTTTTTAAAAGACAGAATGTGTCACATAACAGTATTAGACCTTAGGAAAAAAAAAAAAAGGTCTTGAGTTTTGCCACATCAGTATAGAAAAGGAAAAAAGAGCGAGAATCTTCGAGGAAAGCTGTGCTTGTTGATGCAGCACCAACTACTGGGAACAGCTACCTCGTGTATTGTTCAGACAAACAATTCTGCATCATTTCCATTATTTTTCAAGTTTTGCAACTACAATATCTTAAACAAGAACAAACAGATTGTTTTCCTGAAGCCTCTACAATTAAGTTTCAGATTTAACTCACTTTTTTTTTCTTGTTTAAACTCTACATGAAAAAGAGAAGAAAATGGAAAAAAGCCTCTTATGTTTTCAACATCACTTAAAAGTAAGCACAAGGTTTTACTCTCCTTGACTGACTTTTCATAGTATTAGAAATATTGAAAGACAGAAATGAGGACCTTACATTTCAGTCACATTTACATATGTATATCCATTAGTGGAAAATCAAAAACTTACAGGAATCAGAATGTAGCAAGTGACTTTGTTTTTCAGATCCAGTCAAAAAAATCCTGTATCTCACATAGATTATCATATCATAGTCAGCACAGACCAGAAGAGCAAAGCCAGTAATCGATACAGTGAAGTTTCCAGCAACATAAATAAACCGTTAATTTGAAACAACACTGACCTCTAACCACTTAGCAACCGTTATCTCAAAGAGGCTTGATTTGACTTTGTGCTGCTATCCAACTGAAAAAAAACTTACTGTGCTTTTAAGCTGTGAATCTTAAGAGTTACTTCCATACTGACTGCTTAATGTAATAAAATTAGTTAGAATTGCTCCGATCTCCAACTAGGGAAAAAATCCTGAAATACTCTCAGTAAACAAAAATCTGTTCTACACCATTACATGCATTTATGCAGAAAGATAACAATGTCATCTTGATGCTTACCCAATCATTGTGTTTTCTTTAATCTGGCCCTCTGTGCCATTTACCATTGGCTCTTGATTTCTGTTTTCCTTCTCTGAAGCATCACTTGAGAGGCCCAATAAAGCTCGTACTCGTTTTGACTTCACATCCAATATCGTGTCGGTGTAGCCTACTTCTTGTAGATACCTGTAGGAACAGAACTCATGCTAATCTTCCATGCACATCTCACTTATTCAAAAGAGTAAATGAAAACGTCTCCCTAAATTCATCATCTTCAATCCCTTAGCTTAGCAAAGTATGGTGCTGTGCTAATGAAACATGCTTATAAATGATCCTGTACCAGCTGCAGAGGGATCGCCTCTTGCAGTACCAGCCTCTACAGTCACTGAAAATAAATAAATAAATAAATAAAAATCAAAGAGCCTAGCAGTCAGAGGTTATACAATACGTTATTCATTCATTTACTAAAATGGATGGAAAAGCACTTTCAGTTAAAATATTTACAACTGGCTTATAAAAATCACCACAGTTGCATGTACAACATGGCCATTTTATTCTTTAACACATGGAAACTACACATGAAGCCTTACAAGAAGTATCAGATATGTTCTTTATGTAAGCATTATTAGAAGCATAGAAAACAGCAGGAATAAAAACAAATTCTGTAGCTGTAGTTACTAGTAAGAGTTGTTGGTTTGATAAAATCTTTGTTTTGCTTCTTCCTTATGGATCTGCAAAATATTAATTTGTCTTGCATATAAGGGCTGGGCAGCAAGAATCCTGGACTAGCTCATATGAAAACCTCAGGGTCTTAAGTTGACTCTTTCATCAATATGCCATATTGCCTTTAGGGGAAACAGAGAGGAAATAATAATTTAAAAAAAAAAAAAAAGTAAAAATTGGTCTCTGTCCTTTCCTCTAGAATATGGAGTTAATAGTACTGTCTTCTCAGGAGCACTGGACTGATTAAATGGTCAATATTCTAGAGGACTCTAAAGAGGGGAAATTCTATTTTACAATAACAGCTGTTACAAATCAAGGACATGCACTTTTCCTGCAAGAACATTCTCCTCCCAATTATTTAACAATATCCTCCACATAACCACATTAGAAGAGAAATTCTTGGCTATAAAAATCACACAAGTCACCTATGCAAAACAGAGTCCGTCAGTAATACGCACTCTGTATTCGGCACTGTGTCACTTATTTATGAATTGCGCTGAGAAGAAATGACTTGTCTTCAAAATCACTGATCCAAGTCAAGACCACTTTATTTACATTTATTCAACATACATGCAAAGATTTGAGCCTGCAAAAGAAAAGCATGTACAAGCCATCCAACAGACAAATTTAACTTTTGTATAATTCCTGCAAAAATCTGGAAAAGCTCCAGACTCTCCTTACTGTCTCCTTCCCCTCTCATTCAATCCTCTGTAACACACCAAAAAAAATTAGAAAGCAAAAGTTTTGCTAGCTGATTAGAAGACCTTAGAATCTAACTATCAGCATAGGGGATGAGGCAAATGCATGAAAAAACAGATAGAGACACTCTGATGAGAGGTATTTAGAAGACCTCTTCAATTTAAAACAAAGGTTATAACCAAGGCAAAAAAAACCCCACAAAAATGTGACCAAATATCTTGGAAATTAATTAATTCATTATGACCACAATTCAAACACTAATTTAGGTTAACAGACATTTGCTTCATTGAGACAAACTGAGAATTAGAAAACTTCTAGTCTAACCTTCTGGATATTAGTCTTTTCTGCACCTTGAGCAGGTGAAAACAAAACTTATCCCTCTCCAACACCAGTTATTTTTATTTTTCATAGCTTTTAACAGAATTACTTGTATGTGTTGTTTTTTAATTGCAAAAAGAATTGCAGAGTGTCACAACCCACTGGTCTCCCAAGCAGACTGTTTTATTATACTCAGTGAAAGAAAAGCAAAGGAGATTAGGTGTTCACAATTTGACAAGGCTTCTCATCTGAAGTTCTGAAATATTAAAATTTTTCTAAAACCTAGGGAAAGCAGGGCAGAAGCTGAATGAATTTCATCACACGCGCTAACTTTTCTTGAAGGAAAAACTAACAGGAAAAAAAAAAAATCAAACACCACCATCATCACATTTCATTACCAGATTCTTTCCCTTGCATTCATTATTCAAGTCCTTTTTTCAACACTTACTGTCTTAGCAGCTGCCGTCCTTGTTTCCATATTAGCTGACTGTTCTGTTGTGGCTGAATCTCTGTCTCATTCCCTTCATCTGGAAAAGATTATTTAATTATGAACATTCCTTTTCCTACTTTTAAAAAAGATGCCCATCCACTTGAAAAGAGAAATGTGATTTGTCTTAAAATGATTAGGAATGGTTTAATAACAACATAAAAGATTCAAATTATCAATAATCAATCAAGATAGAAAAAAACGCACATAATTGTAGTACTACGTGCACATAAAGATTGTCAGGTACATCCTACTGTATAAAAGCAAGTTCCACTAGTCATCAGTGCCTTCCCTTCTGTCTCACATCCAAAAAAGCCCCATCTTACTCCTTTTTCTTTAAGGGCACATAATCATATACACAATCTGGAGTTCCATTTTTGCATTAACCTTCCAATATAATTGCTGCTTATAATTTAAGTTTGAGTACAATCATCTTTAACTGCCAACAATATCAAATGCAACTGCATCATGTTATCTATTTACCACTTACCGTCCAACCAATTTCCTTAACACTTGACCGTTCAACATAAAATCAACAGAGGTACTCACATCAACTTTAAATTCATCCATATTTGTATTAGTTTTGTGGAAGGAAAAAAAAAAAATACAACAGGGGTTGTTTATTTTTTAACCTGAAAAGCTCTTGAAAAATTTTCACCATGTTTTCCACAACCATAACTTTGTATCTAAACAGTACTATTCCAGGAAAATCCACAAAAAAATTATGTGGCTGTTCTGGTGAGAAACCTATCTCAATGCTGGCAACCAACAGCTACACATTTATTCCATACATAGCTTCATACTACATGATGGTGGGTTTTTTTTCTCCTCCTCCAGGAGATACAGAAGCATATGCTTCCCAAGATAAAAGATCTTGGTTTATTATCTATGAAAGCCTCTACAAAACTTGAAACCCTTGTGGGTCCAAACACTGCAGGATGAACAATCTTCTTGTGTAAACAAAAATTAAGAACCAGAAAAAACCAGCGGTATAATCCTATAAGTAATTTGATATGTGATGTGGGAAAGCTATTGTCCTTACTGGGAAGTCATTTACCTTTAAACAACTGAATTAACACCACACACAAAAAACCCCACCACCCACCCAAAGAAGCTATCACAGACTAATCAGAATTCACATGCAAGCAGAGCCATATGAATTTTATCCATCTCAAATTCACAAACCCATTTAATAGCAACCATAGGAAATAATCAATTGCACAATGATTTTCTGATGACAACTGAACACAGCTGGACCCAATGTACAACTACCAAAGCACAGTCCATAAGAATTAAAATATGACTGAAATAAATCTGCCTGAAAATTCCTTTCAAAAGCAAAACCCCTTCTTCCAAAAGCAGTATTAAGTATATCTACAGGCAAGAGTTCTCTTTTGCTTACTCTCCTCAAAACTGATGACTGCTAGTGGTAACATCAGTTTAGAGATGAGAATGAAGGGATTGCATTATGAGCAAATAGTACCAGAAAATATCCCAAGCAGTAAAAAAAAAAAAAAAAAAAAAAAGTGAGCATCCTTTTATCAGGAGATTGAACTCTTTCTTCTAAACTGTATTACTGACTCCCCAAGAAATCATAAAGAAAACAAACAACAAGGACCCATTTGGAAGAACTACATGAAACACTTCCCTGTTTTTTCCTGACTCGCCAGGAAAAACAGGGGCAGGGAGCAAGCACAGGGGGGAGACACAGGCATACAAGTATCTATCAAAGAACTCCAAAGAAGCATGATAACAATGCTTCTAATCAGTCCACATTTGATACAGAACAAAAGTGTACATTTCTGACAGGTACACATATAGAATGCAGTGGGATAAATCAGGATAACGGAGTTTTAACAAAGGTAATTCCACTAATGTTCACTTTGCAGAAGTAATGCACTGGCTACAGCTCTGCTGGGCAAGCCAGGCCTTGCACATTCCTCAGCTGGGAACTGGAGCAACATGCTATATAGCTGTATCCTGAGAAATTACAAAACCCAAGGATATCTAAGGTCCTCACTCTCAAACTCTCACTTATGTCTAATATGCACTTTGATTATTTTTCTCTTGGAACACCATTGAGGTAACTGAACCAAAAATTATGTACTATACATTTCATGTCCTTTGCCATTAACTCTTTATTCAGAAGAATTATTCAAAGATAAAAGGATTCTGTAGCTATAAATCTAGTATCTCCCTGTTCCAAAATATCCATACACATTACTAAGGAAGAGAAAATTATTCTCTCCAGAAGCAGTTTGTTAGTTTGGGGCTTTTTAGATCTAAGCTCGTTTGATTTACTAATAGACTCTTTCAGAGCACTAGTATATATTTTTAATTTTACAAGAGTCAAACACAATCTTTATTAATTACCTCTATTCCCACTGCTTCCATTAAGTGGCTTATTTTATCAATAGTATCATTTCAGCACTTGCACAAACCACAGTTAAGCTTTTATGCCGGTAATGAACTCATTCTTAATAAATTCTTACCAGAATCATAGTTTGGTGGCTTCATATCTCCCTGATTCAATTCTGTGCCATATTTTAATTTGTGATATTTAGCCCTGAAAGAAAAAAAAAAAAGAAATAAAGAAAAGAAACTATTAGCACATTTAAAGGGTATCTTTAAACAGATAAATGTCACCTGTCTTCACTTGAAAAGCCACTCCTTCCTTCTAGGCTAGGAACAAAACAAAACAAATAATTTCAGCAGGACTACAGATATGTAATTTTGCTTAACTATTTTTTCCAAGGTTGACATGTAATTGCAAAGTGAATACTGATGAAACACAGGGATCAGTAGACTGCAGATTTTACAAAATGTCCTTGCTACAGAAAAGGTTCCTTCCCTGTGCACATGGGCTTCTCTCTGCTTCCCTCCCCATCTTCCCCCCCTCCCCCCTTCTTTTTTAGCCATCACTATGAAACATTTTTATTATCCATGTCAGTTCAGTGCCATCTACTTTGTATTTCATATTGTCGCCTCAATTAAGCAAACTTTAGTTTTATTCTTTGAAATGCTGAGCTTTCCAACAGCAGCAGGCCCTCGGTTAGAACTATTTTAAATGAGATTTAGTACTGACAGCAGCCTGTCTACACCAGTTTCTCTTAAAGCTGCTAGATCTGACACTTGACCAAGTTTGAAAATGGAGACTTCTCTTCCAAAAATAATTAGCCTACAGAAGGCCTACTGTAATAAACACCACAAAGCATGCTATACAATGACAATAAGAGTAGGTAGAAGAGGAAAACACTTTTTAATTTGAAAAGCTTCATCCTACAGACTCAATGTCTATAGATTTTAAACACACTGAATAATGCCACAGTAGTACAGCATAACAAATGCACATATAAGTTATTAAAGATTCATTAGAGTAATCTTATAACACAGTAACAGAGAAAGTGAAACAAAGAGAGCCTTAGCCAGTTTCACAGTCTTTCCCCCCTTCTTGCACTCACTGTAACTTTTGTGTCTATGATTGTTTTCTGCCAAACATGAAAATTTAGACGACTCAAAAAAATCCCGATTCCCTATAAAGTTTTGTAGACACTCATAACTGGGTAGAAAAGCAGCACTCGTACTAGTTCCTACCCTGAACAAAAGGCATGGAAGAATTCAGGCAACACTGGTGTATTGGGTTTGCATGGCAAGGTTTTGGTAGCAGGGGAGTGGGGGGGCTGCTACAGGGGTGAGTTCTGTGAGAAGCTGCTGGAAGCTTCCCCTATGTCCGACAGAGCCAATGCCAGCCGGCTCCAAGAGGGACCTGACGCTGGCAAAGGCTGAGTCCATCAGGCAACAGTGGTAGCACCTCTGCGATAAGTTTTAAGAATGGGGGAAAAAAAATAACAAACTGCGCAATTGCAGCTGGAGAGAGGAGTGAGAACATGTAAGAGAAACAACCCTGCAGACCCCCAGGTCAGTGAAGAAGGAGGGGGAGGAGATGCTCCAGGTGCCAGAGCAGAGATTCCCACGCAGCCCGTGGTGAAGACCATGGTGAGGCAGGCTGTTCCCCTGCAGCCCATGGGGGTCCACGGTGGAGCAGATATCCACCTGCAGCCCGGGGAGGACCCCACGCCGGAGCAGGTGGGTTCCCAAAGGAGGCTGTGACCCCGTGGGAACCCCGCGCTGCAGCAGGCTCCTGGCAGGACCCGCGCATCTGTGGAGAGAGGAGCCCACGCTGGAGCAGGTTTGCTGGCAGGACTTGTGACCCTGTGGGGGACCCACGCTGGAGCAGTTCGTGAAGAACTGCAGCCTGTGGGAAGGACTCACATTGGAGAAGTTCGTGGAGGACTGTCTCCCGTGGGAGGGACCCCACACTAGAGCAGGGGAGGAGTGTGAGGAGTCCTGCCCTTGAAGAGGAAGGAGCAGCAGAGACAACATGTGATGAACTGACTGTAACGCCATTCCCCATCCCCCTAGCCACTGTGGGGGAGGAGGTAGAGAAAATCAGAAGTTAAACCTGGGAAGAAAGGAAGGGTGGGGGGAAGGTGTTTTAAGATTTGGTTTTATTTCTCATTACCCTACTCTGATTTTATTGGTAATAAATTAAACTAATTTCCCCAAGTCGAGTCTGTTTTGCCTGTGACGGTAACTGGTGAATGATCTCTCCCTGTCTTTATCTCAACCCACCAGCCTTTCATTATATTTTCCCTCCCTTGTCCAGCTGAGGAGGGCAGTGACAGAGTGGCTTTGGTGGGCACCTGGTGTCCAGCCAGGGTCAACCTGCCACAGCTGGGCATGCAGCCTGATGGTAGTGGGACAACCAACGAGCACATGCACATATACAGCTCCAATGCAAATGTACGGAGCTAGGTGTAGGGCAGCAGGATACAGGCCACAAAAGACAAAAAGAAAAAAACCCCTTCACATACACCAACATGAAAATCAGCTTCATTAGTTCCACTACTCACAAGGGAACACTGCCACTTAAAATTTGTTGTTAAAAAATTAATGGGTGTGACACTTCATAATTGTACGAGGCAGGTCTCACTAAGCTCGAATGACTGTATCAAGAACGACTGTAGATAATTTTTTCAAGTTACCTGCGTCTCTTGATTGCTTCTCAGACATCTTCATTACATTACTGTTTTCTTTTGCCTTTTCCTATTTCATCAAGAAAACATACTACTTCTAACCAAATGGTGCTGAGGGAAGCAATGCTTGCTAGTTCTTATGCTTCAGTATTGACAGTAGTGGTTTCCTACTAATCCAGCTGCATTTTAATTATAATAAACATTTAATTCTGGATGAGAAGGGTAAGTGCAGAGTAAAGAAATGCCTCCTAGGCATAGCAACAAAGACAGATGAAGGAACTGACTTCCTTCCTCCTCAAGAGCTATAGCACTAGGACTAACTCAGCTGAGCAGCAACCAGCAACAAAAGGAGAAAGGATGCACTTGAAATGTATTAACAACAATAAACATTTCGGTAGGTACAGAAAAGAATAACCAAGAAGAGAACAAAATTAAAGCTGAATGCTCAATCAAAATATTCATTTTTCCTTTTCCAGCTATCTGTTTCCTACATCTCACCAGCAGAGAGACGTTACCCTGGTAAAACAACTGCATTTCATTATTGTTAAATACTGATGCTATGTATACTTTTTCCCCCACATCACTAATAAAAAGTAACGACTAACCAAGAACTAAGAAATCCTCTACTCTGTCAGTAATCTACCTCACCAACTTTTAACACTACACTTTGTCAAAAACTTCAAGTTTTCATGCAGTCATCAATTCAAGTGTTCCTAACATTTAATCCATTTTGATTTGATTTAAAGTAAGCAAACATTCATAATTTACTTTAGCCTGGATTAGTGACCTATACTGCACTCTACTCAATTCCGGCAAACATTTCAGAAAGCAGTTAATTTTGTGGCATGAGGCATTTGCTTTTAGCTCATGGGTCTTATATAAGGTTCCATTATCCTCTATGCATTCACTAATTTTCTTATCAAAGTTTTGTTAATAATTTTCACCCTATGAACCACAGTAAAATATTTGCTAGGTTAACTGAAAGGATCATTCCTTGTACCTTTCCTATTCCTCAAAACTCTCACCTACGCTCCAAAATCCATTTTTCAGTAACTCAGTCTGCATTTTTTTTAAACTTCTTTGTATATTTATTCCAATCTGTTAAATCTGTGTATGCTCATTTTTAAAATTTCTTTTCCTCTTAAATCAACAGTAATAGCCTTCTATCTTCTTACTGAAGTTTTTCCCCCTCGTTAAAGGCATTATAAAATCAGTTCAGCAAAGTGAGGTTATTCATTCTATCCACATTCTAAACTATTAGTCTGGTTCCTCCTCATAATGCAACAGTTTTTAAAGCCTTTGTTATTCTTCTTTAGTTCAAGAGGATAACCTAGATTACATGGTGTTGTACACCATTGGCCCTTAAATTTATTTTAAGGCCAAACTGGACTAAGATTTCACCTTTCAGAAGATTTAACTTTGTATATCACAGGCAGAGACCAGCAGAAATACAAATATCACAGAAGAATCATGTCCTAACAAAGACAGGCAACTGAAGAGCTGACAATCCCAAACAGCAATCCTTATTTTTAATATTGCTGGTAAAGTTAAAAACAAAAAGCCATAGACCTTTGCCTGCACAAAATGACAAAAAACCCAATGCCAAAGTCAAACCAAAATTAATTAGAATTAATTAGTATAAATTCAGGTATCTGAGCAAGACACGAGTTAGATGTGAAACAGAAACATGAATATCAAGTCAGAGTACTTGACCCGGTGAACTCACCTTCGGCTATGGTCATTTTCTAAAGTTCAGAGGAATATTTTAAAAAAAAATTAAAAAAAATCAAGAGCTAACAGTCCATCAGGGAAATATTTTCTACTCTTCTTCAGGCAGCAAGTATGAGATTTATTATTAGAAACTTTCTTACGGTACAGCTGAAAATGTCACAGGTATGAAAGACAAACAATCACCTTCTTTCCAGAGCACACTAAGGAAAGGGCTGAACACAACAACTCAGACTCCCAAGAGAGAGTCTTGACCATTCAGTTACACACATTGCAACCAAAGGCTATGAAACTTCTCACAAAACCAACTTTAATTCCTTTCTATACAAATTCTGAATATAGCTTATTCCATCAGCATTTTTATATTTAATCTATTTCTACAATAACAGAACATCTCCTGCCCACCTGTCATGCTTAATTTCTCCGCTTTTTCAGAAATCACATAGTCCACTTGTTAACAGTTTTAGACTGGCCCTCTGCAGTTCACACAATTCCAGTTCACACAACACAGCAGTGAGATACTATTATCACAAAAAAGAGCAAACGTATTTTTTCTGTAAATAAGTATAAAGAAAAAAAGTTTCTCCAACCTTTGTATCCTGTGGTGAAAAACAAGGACAGTGGTTTTGGGGCAGGGGAAGAAGGAGGGAAACAAATGACAAAGATGAGCCTTTATTATCTGAAACTTGTTCAACTTGGATGATTTACCTTCAATTTCTGAAAATTACATCTGAATTATTAACAGTATGCAGATACTGAAAAATTACTTGAAAATAACTAGCTGAAGGATACAACTTTATAGAACGTGTTTTCCATCTGATAACTAGCCTCCAAGTTGTTTGGAAGAAAGCCATTTTGAGGCTGTGAAACTATGTTACCAAGTAGATGCCCTTACTCAGGTAAGTATGAGTATTACCACCACTCTGGCTTTTGCACTTCACCACACAATTCTCCTTTTTTCATTAGCAGTATTTTCTTTAAACTACATGTCTTCTATGCAAACAGACCTTGGAGACATTCAACATGGCTGCCACAACACTTCAAGACCTGCTTAGGAAAACGCTAAAAACTTTCATCCTTCTAAATTTCCTAAGACTCAGAGCAGTGAAACTTTTCTGAATACTTCACACAGAAACAAGTTTGATCCTGATCAAAAAAGGCCACTATTTCTTGGAAATATCTGCTGCCAGACCTGAAGCATCTGATCCAGCTGTGCTGAGAGAGCCTGCCAAAACATCCGTAGAAGATCTGGGAGCCGCCGCCAAACCAAGAGACATAAACAAGAATGACTGCCAGGAACAGCACAGCGAGATATTCTACCCAGGGGAGAAGGCGCCAGCCTTACGCTGATCAGACACACCAGTGCAGAAAACAACATAAAATTAAATCAAGTGTTTCTAGAGACATGGCTCAGGAGTCCAGTTCTTCGGTTGAAATACGTTAAGACAGGAAATGAGCTAGACTAGATGAAATAGCACATGTACTTGAAAGAAACAGTACTACATTTCAGCTAGCTCCCAAAAATCCAGAGGAAACAATGCAATTTACTGGTGGTGGAGCAAGTATTGATAAAGTAATAAAAAGTAACCCTCAACTGTGAACAGCCTCACACTGCAATCTACTGGATGTTGGCAAAACTACATCAAAATTGCTGTTGAACAAATGACAGTGCTTAACTATTAATCACTTCCTTCAAAGCTCTTTGCTATTTAGTGTATTAAAGACTCTTCAGCAGAAATAAGTGGGCTTCCTATACATCCAAAAAAAGGGTAATCTTACAATTACTGACATAAAGACCAAACATTAAACTCAATGTCAGAAAAAGATGACAATCTGTAAGTAAAACTCATTTTCTACCTTACCCACAGTGAAACTACCTAAGTGTCATGAAATAGAGAACAATGACAATGCTTCCAAAGCTGTTTGTTTATAGTAAACTTTGAAAATATTTGGTTAACAAAAGAAATGCTGAACACCCACTATACAGAACAGCAGCTCATAAGTGCATATAACTGAGAAAACCAATGTCGCTCACTTCTTCCTCATGGTTTCCTGAGGGCACTGCGAACACGGACTACTCTGGGCCACAGTTTCATATGCTGCCCCATTACCCATAACTTATTTCATCTAGCTAAGAAAGATTTGTTATGCTGCAAGGCCAGGGCAGAAATGAAGGAACACAGCAATGCTTCCCTGCCCCCTCCCACCCACACCAACCTTCCCTTAACTCGACCAGAAATGTTTTCCTGCTACCTTGTAGGATCTCACTTTCCAGCTCTGAGATCCCAGGGGAAAAAGCCAGCATCTCAACTGACTACTGCCTGACCTGGGTGATGGCTGATTTAGGAAAATGCTGGGAAAGACAGCAATGCTTCCAAGCTCAGTATGTTGCCGTTCTCTTAAGTATCAAGTAAGAACACTTGCTGGGAGACATTTCCAGCAGAAATACAAGACTCTTTCTTCAGGAACTGGCAAATAATACTGCTGTTTAAAACCACAAACTCTTATAAATATCTGTGTCCAGCACACACCATTCACAAGCATCACATTTACTTTAAAGACCATTGCACACCCATACTGAAACTGTCAAACTGGATCGGATCAGCTGACTGTAGCCTACTGACCTGAGTAACTGAGGTCAGTACCATACACTGCAGAAAAAAATACAACAAAAGATAAGATACCTATGTAAAAACTGCTCATAAGAAACCACCAGGTGTTTTTTCCTAATCCTGACAGTGACTGATGCATTAAGATTTAAATGTCTTAATTTAGGTGGATTTTACTGAATGCAACTGGGAGGCATTTTCACTATCCCTATGGAAGCTTAAAAAAAAAAAATAAAATCAATCTTAAAAAGTTTCTCTGATAGCACATGGAAATGTATTTACACAGTCTGATAATTTTAGATAAATAGCTAATTTACCTGGGTTATGAACATGAAGTATTAGAGATATCGCTAAGTAATCAGGAATAGCTCCCTCAGCTTTGAAATGCAAAAAATCTTACTGAATTTATATACCTTAGAGCATATTTTTAACTGTACAAGAACATATTCTATTGCCTCTGTCTTTTTAAAGTGACCCTAATCTTCATAGTCAGGCTCCAAATGTAAGCCTTTCCACAGCTATAAACCGCAATCTCCATTATGGATACATTTGATATTTTTGTGTGCTATTTGATATACGATCAGTACCATAACAAGGCCTGGGCAAAAAGGGTATCTACCTTAAGCATTCCTCTAAGACCTCCCCAAAGAGGAAGCAAGTATGCCAGAGCCCTGAAGCTACTGCTGGCCAGGAAACTAGCTGCAGCTCCATGCTAGCGGATGAATTGGTTGCTACCAGAGATGGTGCAAGGCACGTCTCACGTGCTAAAGCAGCCCATATAAGATGAGCAAATCTAAATGCAATACAGTGATGTACAACAATTAGTGTCCTTTTAAAATTACCTAGCAGCAACATCCTATTCCTCATTTGCGTATGTGTATATTTCTAATCTTATTTCTACTAATACAAACTATTTGAAAGAGGAGTATTTTCTTAAAGATAAGTAGGGATTATCTAATAGGAAAATGGTACGTAAGCAATGATTGCTTTGCAGTAGTACCATAAATACACTCTTTGGTCAAGAATTTTAAAAGACATTTTACTAATAAAAAAAAATTTAAAACTAAACTTGGCCTAAAATAAATCAGTTGACCACAAAGACTTCTGGAAACATGATAAAAAAACCAATTTGTTTGCCTCAAAGATCAGAAAAAGAGGAAAGTATATATAAGAATAAAATGATAAAGTAGACTGGGGACTTCTACTGAAATCCCCGTGAACAAAGAAACAGACATTTGATTAACTGGTAAACACAAACATTTTTTCACTTCTCACACAATTAGACTCCAGAAGATATTCCTGTAGAGCCTATCATACTGAAAAGACTAAAAACTTAGCAAGATTAAAAACCAGCAATTACTAGACTGAAGACAGTTATTCAAGATTTCAGTTGTCAGATATTATTAAACAAAGCTCATACTTTCAACAAAAAGAGAATACACCGTAATTCTGGGGTATAGTCTATACAGCTAGGTGGAATTTTACCAAGAAAAACGTATTCATCATTGATCAACCACGGGTTTTATTTGCATGGTTTTGGAGCCATACTATGTTAGCTATTGTTTTTACTGTAATGCGGACATTTACACTACTAGGTTTATTAGTATAATAATATTGTCGATTTGAGAACTGAATATATACAGAAGAAATATTTCTTGGTTTTGTCAAATACAAAGGCAAAAGAAAGTATCTCTTCAGAATTTCTTCATCATATACTTATCACTAAAGCAGCGTACCTTTCCTGTTTAAGTGCATATTCCAGCATTTTGATTCTTCGCACTAGATCCTTCTTCAGATTTTCTTGTCCTTTTCTTTCACCTTGAAGAAAGGCGATCTGGGCCTGCAAAAGGAAGTGTTCAATTTAGAATCTGCATCCTCAAAACCATTCAGCATAGCTCTTAAGTGTGTGTGTCTCCCCCAAGTTATTTTAAAATTTGTACAGTTCAAAAGAAATTGGCTTAATGTGTTTCATAAACATTAAACACTTAGACAAAACACTGCATAGATGAGCCTTCTAAACTGCATGCTCATTAGAGATCAAAATAGAAAAAGATAAGAAATAAAGCAATTTTAGTTTGACAGGGTTTATTTCCTCTCTTCGCTAAATATTCAATAAAAGATTAGATAAAATAAGCATACAAAAAGCCTTCAGCAGATAAAAGCATTTACCAACAATAAGCAGGAAAAGATGATAAAGTATTTCTGCTCACTAACTGAAGTAGTATGTAATTAGTGTACTGTTCTATAGATACATGTTAGATACCTGATACTAGTCAAAGAACTGAAGTACAGCAGGTTCAGCTAAATGAAAAATAAAACCCAGTTTGTAATACCGTATCAAATGTTAATTATAATGCTTACTAAAATAGGTTAAAGAAAGCTGTCCAGAAATACTGCAATTAAGAGAGAGAAAAAATGGAAAACAGGGAAAGGTATTTTGGTGAGGGAGACCAGGAGACAAATGGTATAGAAGTAAATAGAAGTCAAGTGGAACACAGACACCTAACCTTTATCGACTTCCAGCAGAGAATTAGTATTTAGTTGCCTGTGAAAAATCTCCTTTAAATAGAAAATGATGATATATACAAGATATTAATTCCTAATCATAAAGGCAGAACTACCTGCTTTTGTACCTCGTGCTCAAATCAAGTCCATTATAAGAAGCAGGTTCTTGTGCTCTCAACTCATGAATACACATTTAGACAAAAATACCTACAGGCAGTCACCACTTCATACCCCAGCCTCACCTGCATTGCAAGCCACCTGCCATTTTCAGGATCAGAAGCTTTCTGCCACCTTTGCAGCTAAGTCTCCAAGTATCTCATCTGCCTCTTGAGAAGCACCAACAGGATAAAAAGCAGCTGGTCTACACCATCAACTGTTGAACACCAAGAGCAGTAAGCCTTTCATTTCTATAAATGCCCACTGCAGTTCGATAAGCAGTGTTTTCTGTAGGTACTGCAGTCTGTACCAATCTCTAGTGAAAGTGAGGAAGAAACAAGCAGGAGTATCCTCTCCTCACCTGCCACAGCCTTGCACGCAATCACCAGATATCTTAGTTAATGGAGACAGACACTCCTAAAGAATAACTTAGCTGACTTCAAATTTTTAGTGAGAAAAATAGTGTCTGTAAATGCCATTTTCTCTCCACCAAGTATAAAGGGAATGCACACAACTACCTCGGTTGAATTTTGGAGATCAGGCAAGATGAATTTTACTCCAAAAGGCCATTTGCTGGTGGCCAGCTACAGCAGCTGATCTAAAATATGACACCAGCTGACATAATTTCATTGCTCAAGTACAGTTAGTAAACAGCTTGACAGACACCTGAACAATCCTTAACCACCAGTCACCAACTAGAGCAGCCAGTTTATGACAAGTGAAAAACACTGGCTACTCCCCAATGAAATCAGTCTTCACATTCACTAGGGTAAATGTATTTGCAAAAAAAACCTCAGCTGAATCAAAGGACAGGTCTCTGTCAGTCTGGCATTGAGCTTCTCACTTAAACTGGGATGAACAAAAAACTACAATTGAATTCTAACATTTGTTTTATGCTCAGGTTTAGGGAAAGACAGAGAAGAAAGAAATGGTGCCTTTAGAGTCAGCATTTCCTACCCTGAAGAATGTAACTGCGCAGGAAGCATGTCAACTCAACAAGGTCACCACCTCTCTCAGTAACAAGAACAACACCTCAAGCACATACAACTTAGTGCAAACTAAGTAACTTGTACAAACACCCAGATTATAAGGCATGTACTAGTGCACTGTGATAGTGATTTCTCTCTCCCTGCCTCCACATAGGCCCAGCAGAAATAAACAAGTGGCCTTCAAGCCAAAAAGTGAGAGAACATCAAAGTACACTATTAAAAAACAGTACAACATGATGTAAATTGCATTTGGCTGAATGAAAAAGATCATCCAATGCCATCAGAACACAAGCCAAAGTGATCTATGATGTGACCTGCTGTCTGCAAGTAATTTCTAGCTAAGAACAAACTGACTGAACAGGCTGGAATGAAGCATTTTTACCTGGCAGGTTGGCAAAGGACAGCCAGTAATGGCCTGGCTCATGCACTGCTCTACTACAAAGGTCAAACCAGCATTACCATGCTAACATTTGAGGTTAAAGTCATCTTCCACTGGTAGCAGCCTAAACAACAACAAAAAAAAATGCAACTTCTCAGTAGTTTTGATAATTTACTTTTGTAAGAGAGAGACGTAAATGGATTTGGTTAAGAAATATCATACGACACCTCCTTCATGTGAAAATGAGCAGAGTCACACTTCTGATACAGGGCAGGCCTGGCTCGGTAACTTGCCTGACTAACCATTTGAGAACCAAAATTCAAAACTGTTACCAGAAGCTTCTTAAGCACATAAAATAATGTAAATAATGTTCCTAACTCTACCTCTGGAGCTGAAGCATCTACATCTTATGATTCAACATGAAGCAAAAGGATTGTGCTCTCCCTCCTCGGGGCCACTGGCAGGCTGTAAGTATTATACACATATTGCACAGGAAGAAAGAGCACTGGAAGAAATATTAACTGATTCTTTGAAGATCTTTTATTGTCAGTGGTATGCCAATGCTCTTACTGATATCTTATAACTTTTCTTTTTCCTGGACTTCCAAGAAATTCATGTGTTTCTTACTCGAAACACATGCAGCAACAACAGAGTGGAACTTGCAGCCCAAGAGCCATCTCTCCAGCCCTACACAAGCTTATTGCCAGGATCTTTCAAGGTTACTATATACTTTACAGATTGGCAGTTTTCCTGGCAAATCAAGAAACCGACAAGTGCACCACAGGGTTTGAGAATAATTCTGCCTTCTCCTTGGAGGCTGTGCAGTTTCTAGCATAGTTTGTTCATGCTTTTCTTCTAAGTAGCATCCTTATGTCCGATACTTGTTATTTTTGAGAAATTCTGGCTCTGAAGATGAGAATGCTTACATTTGGTCTTTTTCATAATATACAAAAAGTAAGGAGAATATTTCCCCTCTTTCCCACAGGATGTTAGCAACTCTTATCCCTCATTTATATAAGTACTAGATAATTACAATTAAGTCAGCCTCAGCAGACAACAAAACATCAGTTATATTTGTAAGCTCAAATTTTATTGAAGAAATTCTTAATGATAATATTCAGGCTTATTTGTAATGCACATATGGACAGCATTAAAATAACTGAAATTTTATACCAACGATACTACTGTAAACAGTCCCTATGTCCTAAGCAGATTTCATTCTTTACAATGTTTGGCAATTAACTGAAAACATGCAGAGGAACCTAAATGTTCATACCATAAATGAAACAATTTGTAGTATAAATGAAAACTGAATAAATGAGTACACTGAGTTTAAATATCTAAAATGACAAATGATGACATCTAGCAGTATTTTCTCAGTCTATAGATAAAAACAGTGGTAACTCTAGGATCACCGTTTCCAATCAAAATATTTAGCCAACACCTGTCTAATGTCTGTGCAAACATTTAAAGTGTAAGAGGTCTGGGTTTAAATACGATGAAAAGTATAACTGAACTGTACAACTACAGTTTTCTTGTAATTCGGACGTAAACAGAATTTTATCAACAGATTGAGACTCCACAGGCCATTTCCCATTGTTGCAGCTTTAGTGCAAATCAAACCTGAAGCTTGCACTACCTGAGGGAGTAGGAGAGCAATGGAGGATCACTTCCAATTTGAATGATCTGCAACACTGTCCTACACTTATGCTTTGACCACTCCCAGGAAGGTTTGCCAAAAATTTCAAGAATTCACAAATATGCCCAACAAACAGGTTCTGCGACAACTGACCTTCTACCTCATAAGGTTAAAATGCATCAAGTTGTAAGCTAGTCATTGCAAACCTCTAAATCGCCTACAGGGATCAAGCAAAACCTCAGATTGTTCCTTGCCTTATGGGTGGGGCGCATCGGCTCCATAAAGCACCTGGCCCCACTGGATCCACAGCAAGGAATCAAGGCAGAGTCTGCCTCAAGTTTATTCCAGGCTAAATGCTACAAGTTACTGTATTACAGCTAAACTGTAAAATTAAAATCAAGAGAGTCAGGAGAAAACAAAAACAGACAAAAAACCCAACCCCATTGGATGTTGGGAATATTGGGACGAGAGATGCCTGGAACAGTCTATTTCAGCTACAACCATACAGTCCAGTATTATACTTTTTTCTACTTTATCTCATTAAAGTTTTTAGTATTGCCAACTGCAACAAAACTTAGAAATTTTATGAGTATCCAGTCTAAATTAATAGCACTGGAACTATCTTAACTATTCAACTTCTTTACTGAGAGATTCTAAAAATAGCATTCATTCTTATATTAAAAAAAATTCCCATGGGCAACAACATGGTTGTTTTAGGAAATTCCCCAAAAGACTCTAAGGTCACATTACTGCAAAGTGGACAAAAGGATGAGGCAATGTTTTAGGTAGCACTGGGTTAGAAACAACTTTTTTTAAAATGTTGTTGACTACCTCATACAAGCTTAGCAGCCATAACAATATAATCAAATAATGAAATTGCATCTTAATAAATCTGGATTTCACCAATGTTTGAAAAAGTAAACTGAAATTTACACTTCCTGGAATCAGCAACCATGACAACAAGGATGTTAAAAAGTACACCATATCACCACACCTTTTTAGGCTGACACCTTGACATTACAAAACAGCAAGAGATTAAAAAAATATTTACCTTTAACAGAAAATGTTTAAAAAGAAACAATGCTATGGCTGCTAAACAAACAATGCATGTTTAGTATCAACTTTATCAGCTCCTGAATTTTACAGCTATTTCAAGTTAAAAGGTGAATTAT